AATAACGGGGACATAATAAGCAGGGGAGTGGGTAGAGAGCATCCTTGCTCAATCAATAAGCATTTACAAATGTGCTCCGAGAGGTTAGGAGGTTATATATATATCTATACACTCATGTAGAAAGCTCTTTACAAACCTTCTAGTGCTATCTATGTAAATGTTAGCTATAATTAGCTAACATTTCAGGCTACAGAGACAAAAATGAAATCATCCCTGTTCTCCCGACACATTCTATCAGAGATGACAACATGTCCTTTTGTGTGTATATAAGCATTTACACAATAAACACATATAAAAATTAAATTTAATTTAAAAAACAAAATAAAATAGGGAGGGATGGGGTTCAGGGGAGCCTTCCTATAGAAGATGAAGCTTGAGTTGGGACCTGAAGGAAGGAAGAAGGGGATTCTATGAGGTGGAGGGAGTACATTTTAGGGATGGGGAATGGTCAGTGCAAGGATGGGAGATGGGATGCTGTGCATGAGGAAGAGCAAGAAAGCCTTTGGTTGGAGGTAGATCGTGAAGGATTTAAAAAGACAAACAGAGGAGCTTTATTTTATCCTGGAGGCAGTAGGGAGCCAGAGCAGTTTATTGAGTAGAGGAGTGACATGGTCTGACATGCACTTCAAGTAAACCACTCTGTCAACTATGTGGGGGATGGATTGGAGCAGAGAGAGACTTGAGGCAGGGAAGAACAATGGAAGGCCATTGTAATGGAACAGATAACGACTAGAAGATGGAGACTTGGGAGGATGGTGGTATCTTCAGCAGAAATATGGGGATTCAGAAGAGATGTGGGTTTGGGGGAAAGATAGTAAGTTCTGTTTTGCTTTCTGTCTCAGCAGATGAGGCCTGAGAGGAGGCAGCCCTTGTCACATATATTACAATATCTGCTTCTCCTAGTTGTGAATCTAGAGAAAAGAGCACAGAATTTAGAATCAGAGGGAGAAATGACTTGTCCAGAGTCACCCAGTGAGTTCTTGGAGGAGGCAGGCTTGAATGCTGGTGTGCTGGCTTTCATTCCAGAGCTCTCTCCATCAGCCTCTGCTGCCTCTCTGTGCCACACCACATGGTCAATGCAGCATCTTGTCATAAAAGCAGTGACCTTGGAGTTTGGAGATCTGGCTCTTTGTCTCAGTTTTAGCTATTCATAAGATGTTCCATTCTGAGCACGTCTTTTCTTCTACCTGGGCCACAGTTTCCTCATCTTCAAAAAAGAATAATGATGGTACCATCTAACATCGCAGAGCTGTCAAGAGGAGCAAAGAAGAATACATATATAAAGCACAATATAAATGGGAACCATTATTTTTTAAGTAAACATTTATTGGTATTTCTCTCTCTCTTTTTTTTTTAACATCACCAACACTTCCCAATATGCACCACCTCTTTCTCCCGGACAGCTATCCCTTAAAACAAAGAATGCAAATGAAGGGGGAAAAAATAAAACAGTTCAGCACAATTAACCCATGCATTGAAAAAGACTTATTATCTGTAGTGTTCCACATCATAGTTCTCCTCGGCTGCCCCATCCCCATACCAGGGAGAGAGGGAGGGGCCTTTTTATCTCTTCTTTGGAGCCAAACTTGGTCATTATAATCTCACTGCTTTGGGTTTCAATGGTGGCTTTGTTATGCTTTCCATTTATCTTGCAGTCATTGTGTTCATTGTTGTCCTGGCTGTGCTTACTTCACTCTGCATCAGTTCTTATAAGTCTTCCTGTGTTCCCCTATAGTTACCATTTCTCATAGCACAGTAATATTCCATTACATTCACGTACCATGATTGGTTTACCTAGTCTCTGGTTATTGGACATCAACTTTTTTTTTCTAGTTCTTTGATCCTACAAAATGTGTTTTTATAAGTATTTTGGTGAATATGGGACCTTTCTTTTTATCTTTTATCTCCTTGAGGCATATGTCCAGGACATGTTAATCATTTTCTGAGAATATTTCCAAATTGTTTCCTCAATTGGTCCTCACAGACCAATTCACAACTCTACTAAGTGCACATTAGCAGGTCTTCCATGGCCCGACCAACATTGACTATTCTCTTGTCATCTTGACCAATTTTCTAGGGTTTAGGGGAAACTTCAGACTTGTTTTGATTTGAAAGGTGGATTCTTATCATCTGTACTGATCACCTACTCTTTGCAGAGGCAGCTAAGTGAAACAGTGGATAGAGTGCTGGCCCTAGAGTCAGTACAACTCTTCCTGAGTTCAAATCTGGCCTCGGACACTAACTGTGTGACTCTGGTCAAGTCACTTAACCATGTCTGCCTGTTTCCTCATCTCTAAAATGATCTAGAGAAGGAAATGGCAAACCATTCCAGTATCTTTGCCAAGAAAACCCCAATGGTGCCCCAAAGGGTCAGACTTGACTGAAAAATGACTGAACAACAATTCTCTGCAGAGCTCAGTGCTGGCTTTAAGTGGAAGAGGCAAAGATGAAGAACATCTGATCCCTGTCTTCAGGGAGCTTACAGTCTAGAAAATATTTCTTTATGATTGAGGCCTCTTTTGTGCCTTAAGCTGTGGAGTGGAGAGAGTGGAGGTTATTTAGGGCATCAAGGTTATTTTTTTGAACAGTAGAATGCAAGCTGTTTGAGGGCAGGGGTTGATGTTTTTGTATTTTTAGTGCCTAGAACATAGTAGTAGCTTAAGAAATGCCTATTGAATGAATGTATATGGATTTTTCCCATCCTGTCTAGAGTGGGAATTGGACAGGTACAGGAGATTGGGTAGCCTGAGTCTGGAAGTTATTCATTCATTTATATATTACTAAATCTTTACAAGATAAATTTAGGGGTTTCCTCAGCCACCTGCTAATCTGTTTTTCTCTGTTCAAATACAAAGGAATGATCACAGGTTAACCATGGGTTCTAGGTCTCAAACTTGTCTTTCATTGAAGATTCTAGGTCATGGGGTTGTTCCACGTTATGAGGTTGTGGTTAATTGGGGGTTCCAGGTCATGAGATAGTGAATGAAAGTTTGACTTCTATCCAGTTGAACCAACATTTCATAATCACTTATGTGCCATTCTAAAGGGTGTGCAGTTGTAATTAATGTGCCATTTAAGGCATGTGTATGTGGATGGGGCAGGGAAGGGTGGTCATATCAGAGAACTTGTCCTTCTTTCACTGAACATGAGGGTACCCCATAGCAAGATGGTGGAAAATGCTGTTGGATCAGTCTGTGTACCCAGTCATGTAGAAGAAGTGAGGGTCAAAGAAAAGTGTGAGAGTCAGTTCTGTCCCTGTGGAAAACAGGCCAGCCACAGAATGAGAATGAACGTGAAACCAGACCTTAGTGTGAAAGCTATTTTTGGATGAGGCTGAGAGATGGGCCTTTTATTTGGGCTGCTGGGTGCAAACTTAGAACTTGGGGAGTCCAGAGATGAATAGAAGGGGCCGAACTAGTAGTATAGAGCTACCATTCGGGGTGGGGAACCTGTGGCCTCGAGGCCACATGTGGCCCTCTAGGTCCTCAAGTGTGGCCCTTTGACTGAATCCAAACTTCACAGAACAAATCCCCTTAATAAAAGGATTTGCTCTGTAAAACTTAGACTCAGTCAAAAGGCCACACCTGAGGACCTAGAAGGCCACATGTGGCCCCGAGGCCACAGGGTCCCCACTCCTGTTACCCTTACCTTCTTTGCTGCAATGGAGAGGGAGCTGGATTCTTAGAGTGCCACTTAGGGTCTGTGAGAGTCAGTAGATAGGACCAAATAGAAGGACTGTTGGGTAAATCTATCATTTACCTAATATTACCACGTCCTTCTCCAGCATCACCGCCTCCTCTCTCTGACTCCAACAGGCACAGAGCTGTTGTTACCAGCTGTGTCATATTCAATTGATAGGGGGCAGACATTGGGAAGATTGAGGCTTGGTCTGTGTATCAAGGCCAGCAGTGATGAGACCACCTCTTGTACTTATGGGGTGCAGTCACACCCAGGGAGGGATGGCCCATCTGTTCCCCAGAGAGTTAAGTTACCCCAATCTGTTGCATAGCTGGGAAAGGTAGGGAGTATGAAAATGGGGAAAATGGGGAAAGGCCTTGGGAGAGGGGTGCTGTGGCTCTGGGGTGGTGTCCAGGGCCCAAGTGAAGAAGGGGAATGGTTGTGCTGTAGGTGGTGAGGCCATAATATGGAGCCTGTAGAAGACTGTGAAGTACAAGGTTGGCCACCATTCATGTGACCCATCAGTTGTTAATAACAAGACGAAGTCCAAATCCTACCTTTTGCCGAGAGGCCTTTCCTAGTCCCTGGTGCTAGTGCCTTCCTCTTGAGAGTGCCTTACATTAAGTCTCTGTGTGTCTTTTTTGTATCTGGTTATTTACATGTTCCCTCTCCCATTAGAATGTAAGCTGCTTGAGGGCAGGGACAGAACCATGTTTTTGCCTTTCATTCTATCCTCAGTGCTTGGCTAAGCTATTCTTGTTGGCTGGCTGATTGACTGACTGACTGAAAGAATACCTATGCAGTCAAGCCATCTAAATTTTGGTCCCCGTGGCCAAGGAATAATAATTGCTGACTTTTTACATAGCCACATTATAAAGAAATTTTTATTCTCCAGTTAGGGAGAGAATATTGAGACCCAGAGGGGAAAATAACTTAGCCAAGGTCACTTAGTAAGTCAGTGACAGAAGTGGGAGTGGTAGAACTCAGGTCCTTTGACTCTTAGTACAGGGCTCCTTATACTTCACCAAAAAGGGGTTGCCCCCTATGGGAGAGCTTGTCATCACGAGCTAGAAAAGCGTCCTGTCCCAGAGGCTTTATAGGCTAGGAGTTCAGCCTGTAGGGCTAAGAGTCTGTCCTCCAGTAACCTGTTTCTGTGTCTTTCTCTTCCCTTGGTCTTTTCTGTCCCTCCCTGTGACTCTCCATCTGCCTCCATCTGTCTCTTTCCCTCCTTCCATCTGTGGCTCCTGCCCCTCCTGCCCCTCTATCACCATTATTCCCATGCCTCTCGCTCCCATCTTGTGCCCTCGCTTATGCCTGCCCAGGCTTGCTGGTCACCATGACAATGGAGACAGGCCCTGATGCTGAGGTGAAGAAAGCACAGGAAGACCCTCCACCCCAACCCCCACAGCAGCTTGAAGCCTCAGCCTCTCAGGCCCCTGCCACCGCAGCCCCCCACGGCCTTGCTGGCCATCCTGAAGCTAATTCCAACGAGAAGCAGGGCACCCAGCCTGATCCCAGGCACACGGAGCAGGTGAGTGTCCTGAGTTGCCGAAGGGGCCTGACTGTGCGCTTGGGGCTGGCCACAGGTCCTTCTTCCAAACCCCATGGCCAGCAGGGATGCTGAGAATACAATTTTCCTGCTCTGTGTACCAGTGGGATACTGGTTCTCCTCAAGCCTTCCTGCTCTGGCTTAATGAACTATTCACTGGAAACAATTCAAATCAGTCTAACTCTATGAAAATAAACTAAATTCCTAGAAGATCAGAGCTGGGAAGGACCTTAGAGATCATCATTTTTCCAAATAAGGAAACTGAGACCCAGAGAGTAGAAGGAAGTTAGTCCAAGGTCACAGAGGGAGTCACTGGTGAGACTGGGACTAATAATAATATCTGATTAATATAAAAATTTAAAGTTTTCTAAAGGACTTTGCATACATTTATACCTCACCACAACCTTGTGAGATAGGTACCACAAACATTATTATCCCTATTTACAAATGAGGAAACTGAGGCACAGAGAGGTTAAATGACTTGCCCATAGTCACACAGCTAGTGTCAGAGTACACCCAGGTGTACTGATTTCAGAACTCTAGAAGAATGATATGTCAGAGCTTGAAGGAGCCTTAGAGGTCTCATTTGGATTAGGTTCAACTTCCTCATTTTACAGAAAAAGGAACTGAGGTTCAGAGGAGGAAAGGTCATAGAGACAGAGAATCTGTGTTTCCTTTCTCCAAGGCCATTGTCCCTCCCTGCACACCCAGAAGAGATTCTGCCCAGTTTAGTTTTTTGGGTCCATGTATCATCCAACCTAATTTCACCAAAGGCGAGACAGAAGGAGAACACATGGGTGTCTGCTTTTCAAGTGCTCACATTTACCTAAAGAAGGGGTTCCGTACCTGGGATCCAAAAGCTTTTAGAAAAATAGTTGGATAAAAAAAAAAAAAGGAAAAATAGTTGGATAACTGTCTCAGAATAATTGGTTTCCTTTGTAATCCTAAGTGTTTTCTATGTTTATAAACATTATTCTGACAAGGAGTCAGCAGAACACCAAAGAATCCATGATAGCAAAGAAGATTAAGAATCCCTGGGCTAAGGAGATAAAACTGGCATTAGAGGCATTTGAAGTCACACAGTGAGCCAGTTGAGGCCTTAGCCCACAGTCTGTGTCCCTGCCACCTGGTACAAAATGGTGTCTGGTTTTGACCAAAAACATCCCAAAGTAAGGGATTCCCACCCCAGGTGTGAACAACTGAGGGAGAATGTAGCATTAGCGCATGTTTTAGTTCTATATATTTTCCTTTATAAAAACTATAACTCGTAGAAGAATCCTTAAACTTTAGACTGAAATCTCTGAGTGGGAAAGGATCTCTAAGAGCAGGAAGCAGTCATGCCCTCTGTGCTTGAAGATGTTGTGTGATGGGGAGTTCACTTTCTCCCAAAATCACCTAACCCCATCATTGGACAGCTAAGATTTGGAACATTCTTCCTTATGCTGAGCTGAAATCCAGGTCCTTTGGACCTGCCCCTCTTCTCCCCCAGTACTTTTAGTTTTGCCTTCTGAGGCTAAGCAGGACAACTCTAGAGAAGAGATTTGTTTTTTGGGGGGGGGAGGGGATTAGGCAATGGGGTTAAGTGACTTGCCCAGGGTCACACAGCTAGTAAGTGTTATGTGTCTGAGGCCGGATTTGAACTCAGGTCCTTCTGAATCCAGGGCCGGTGCTCTATCCACTGCACCACTTAGCTGCCCCTAGAGAAGAGATTTAATGCGGGGCATGTTGGCTGTCTTCTAGCACAAACAGCTAGGAATGTGGAAGAGGGATCAGGCGTGTTCAGTTTGGCTCCAGAGGGCAGAGTTAGAAGCAAAGTGGGAGAGGTCCAGGCCCACATTTTTAGTCCCATATAAGGAAGAACTTGACAAATCTCAGAGATGTCGAGCTGTAGGTCAGGCCGCTTCGAGAGATGTTGGGAGCTTGAGCCTCAAAAGGTGACTGAAGACCACTTATGGAAGAGAGCTATGGAAGGGCTGCTCCGGGTCTGAGAGGTTTATTGCCCAGCACCTACCTAGATGTCCTCTTCCTACTCAAAGATCCTACGAGTCTCTGATTCCGTGAACGTTTTAGCCTTTTCCCTTCAGATACATAATTGCTTGAAAATCCTGTTGACTTATTTCCTCCAGTGCTCTGTGTTTGAGGGGAGACAGAGTTGAGCAAAATAGTCCCTGCCCTCCCAGAGCTTACAGCCTAATGGGAGGGCTGACTCCCATTTCTCTGGTGCAGTGTTTGCCAAACGCTTCCATTTCAGTAGCCCGGGTAGGGAAATTGAGCTGGAATTATTATCACTGTTTTACAAAGATAGAAATAGAAGCCTGGGAGGATAATGGATTTGCTCAGGGTCTCTTAGTGGATCATCAGTGGAGTCAGGAATAGACCCTAGGACCCCTGGTTCCCAGTCCATAGCTTATCTCCCCATTAATCAGTTAATCAAAGCACATTTATTAGGCACATGCTATATTCCTGATACTGTGCTAAGATTCTGGTAATACCAAGACAAAGATATTAACAGTTCCTGCCCTCAAGTAGCTTACTTTCTCTCAGAGAGACAGGAAAGCTTCTTTCCGGAAGGTCGAAGGAGGCCGTGATAACAAGTTCTTTGTGTTGATGCTGATCTGCAGGGCCTCGACATGGAGGAAAAGGATTATGTCGAGACCGATGGCCTATCTGACAGGACAACACCCAGCAAGACCCAGAAATCTCCCCAGAAGATCGCCAAGAAATTTAAGAGTGCCATTTGCCATGTGACCTTGCTGGATGCCTCAGAATATGAGTGTGAGGTGGAGGTAGGGCCAGAAGATACTAGATTGGGCCTGGAGCTATGGGTGGGAAAATCAGTCCTGGTCACTCTGCTGATTATTAGAGCTGGAAGGGATCTTAGAGATCATCTCATCCAACCTCCTCATTGCACAGATGGGGAGATGGAGGCTCAGAGAGGGTGAAGGGAAGGAAATTAACATTGACTAAGCCCCTACTATGTGCCAGGCACTGTACAAATTTCATCTTGATAGCTGATCCTCACAACAGCCCTGGGAGGTATGTTTTATTATTATTATTATTATTATTATTATTATTATTATTATTAATTATTTTTTGGTGAAGCAATTGGGGTTAAGTGACTTGCCCAGAGTCACACAGCTAGTGAGTATTATGTGTCTGAGGGCAGACTTGAACTCAGGTCCTCCTGACTCCAGGGCCGGTGCTCTATCCACTGCGCCACCTAGCTGCCCCTGATGTGGTAGGATTTATCCCCATTTTATAGTATGAGGAAACTGAGGCAGACAGAAGTTAAGTGATTTGCCCAGAGTCACATTGCTAGTAAGTGTTTGAAGCTGGATTTGAACTCAGGTCTTCCTGACTTCAGACCTAGTACTTTATCCATTGTGTCACCTAGAGAAGGAGTTTGAATCCATTTTCCTCTTTTCCTATCTGTTCCAAAGGAAGGTGGAGCTTTCCCTTTCTAGAGCAATGTAGGCTGCCAACTCGATGAGCCCAGGAGGAGCTTTGTAGGGAAGCTAGGAATATTCCTGGGAGCCTGGATACTGGACCAAGGGCTGTGTGGAGATCATGAGAAAGAGGAGGCCCCTCTGGTGCTACTGTTTGTCCTTAGGGCCACTCAGGATTTAGGACTGAAGTGGAGAGGGGTGGCTACTCTCTCTCATACTATGGGTAGGGCATTCATTGTTGTCCTACTGCTCACCCCTTTGGCACTGGCTTGAACTGGTTGGCAGCGGCCCATGCCTGGGGGACTCTGGAAATAGCTGCTCCCACCCACCACCTGGGTGCCCTACTTTACCGACTCCCTGACACCATTTGTGTCTCTATCCACAGAAACATGGCCGAGGGCAGGTCCTTTTCGACATGGTCTGCGAACACCTCAACCTCCTGGAGAAGGACTACTTTGGGCTGACCTTCTGTGACCCAGACAGCCAGAAGGTACTGAAATTAAGGACCAGGCCTAGGGGGCTTCCTGATTCCTCGAGGTCTCCCCATCCTCTCCCTCCGCTGGCTACAAGCCCCTCCCTGATCCTCTCCCTTTCTCCTTCATTTCCATTCCCCAAATACCTCATTCATTCATTCATTTATTTAGCAAACTTAGCCTACTATGTGTAGGACCCTGTGTTTTGCTCTTTTCGGGGCCTGGGAAGAGAGGATAGATGAAATAGACCTCACAGAGTTCCTGGGAAGGGAAGGGGAAGTGGGGAGGCGGGGTGCGGCAAAGCAGCAGCTACTAGAGGGAGATAAGACAGACAAAGAGATCTATTATACACAATAGAGCGTGATAAAGGAGGCCTGAGGAACTCTGGAGCTAAAGAGGAGGGGAGATCATTTTCAGCTGGGGGGCCCTCAGAAAAGGCTAAAGAAGGGGTAGTCATTTGATAGTAGGGAGGGGCTGGTCTCTAAGCAGCTCCAGCAGAGCTTTCTGAGAGGGGAAGGTGCAGATGCTTTTAGGGGTTGGAATGTTGTTCGGTGCTGAAGGGTGGGGTACGGGAGGAGCAGCAGAGGGAAATAAGTAAGTTTCAGGCTGTTTTTGCATATGGACTCCTACGGACAACATTCCTAATGATCCCAGGTCTTCCTTTCCTCCTTCACCTTCCTGCCTCTTCTAGGTTTATCACACATTATTCTCTTTCCCAGACTCTCTGTTCTAGCCAAACCCGACTTTGTGCTCTTCCTCGTACACAACATTCCATCTCCCATCTCTGCCTGGAATTCACTTTCTCCTCCACTTGACCATTTGGAATCCGCGTTCCCAAGTACCACCTCCCACTGGAGCCCTTTCTCAATTCCCTGGGCTTCTGGCACCTCCCCGCCCTCCCCCATTGTATTTTTTTTTGTATGTATCTTATATAAACTTATGTACTTATGTTGTGTGTCCCCCAGTATAAAATGTATACCCCTGAGGGGCAAGGATCATTTCATTTTAGTCTCTGTCTCCTAAGCACTTGGCATAGTGCCTGGCACATAGTAAGCACTTAATAAATGTTTATTGATTGATTCTTGGAAAGGGTGGTACTTGAGTTGGACTTTAAGGGGCAAGTAGAATTCAGCCAGTAAAAGAGCGTATAGGAAACAACTGGAGCAAAGGCCAGAGAGGGTTTTTTTTTTTTTTGTACAGTCATTCTGTATATTCTAGTTCTTCTTCCTTCGATTTTCATTAGATGTCTTTTCATGTTTCTTTATATGTTACTTTTTTATGAAACAATAATTTTATAGTACATTGATGTACCATAATTTGTTTAGCCATTCCTCAATCATTGGACGTATAGATTGTTGACATGTTGTTTTTCTTCCACACTTACAGACAAAGCCATTAGGAATGACTGATATATGTGACCAATGAGCCACTTTTTTTTAATCGATCAACAGAAATTTATTAAATACCTACTATATGCCAGGCACCATGCTAGTCAGTTAACAAGCATTTTTAAATACCTGCCGTGTGCTGGGTATTGCACTTAGTGCTGGAAATAAAAAGAAAAAAAAATGAGATAGTCTGACAGCCTCTAAGCACAAGAAGCTTATATTTTATATGTGGAGACAATGTGTGCTTATGTAAGTATGCACAAAATAAATACAAGTAACCTTGTGGGGAGAGATGTACTAGCAACTGAGAGGGTGATCAGGAAAGGCTTCATGTAGAAGGTGGTGCTTAAGCTGGGTTTTTAAGGAAAAAAACTAGGAATCTTAAGAGGCAGAGGTGTGTGGGGAGTGCATTATAAGTATGGATGACATGCAGTCCAAAAACAAGTAGATGGAAAATGGAATGTTCCATATAACAAATACCAAGAAGGTCAGTTTGGCTGGATCATAGCGTGCATAAGGGAGGGTACTGTGCAATAAGACTGGAAAGGTAGGTTAGGACCAACCAGATTGTGAAATCTGATCCTAGAGCCATTGGAGTTGAATCGGGGAATGACATGGTCACAGCCTTGCTTAGGGAAAGTCACTTTGGCAGCTTTGTGGGAGGTGAATTGTAAAGAGGAGAGACTTGAGAGCCTGGAGATTGATTAGGAAGCTATTGCAGTAGTCCAGATGACAAGTCATAAGGTCTGAACTAGAGTGGTGGCTATATGAGTAGAGAGAAGGGGATAGATGGATGGGAGGGATGGCACATGGACGTCAAGACTTGACTATCCATTGGATATGTTGGAGAGACAGTGAAGAGTCCAAGATGACACCAAGACCGGGAACCTAGGAGACGGAAAGGATGATAGCGTCCTGTAATAAGATCAAGTCAATAAGCATTTGTTAAGTGCCTGCGATGCGCCAGACACTTTGCCAACCGCTACACAGAAATAAGGAAGTTTGGAAGTGTGGGTTCAGGAGGAAAGTTAGTGAGTTCTCCTTTATATAGGATGCCCAGTTCAAAATTGGGCAGTTGGTGATGCAGTACTCTAGTTTAGGAGAGGCAGAGGGGCAGATATGTAGATATCTATGTACGTAGATTTGGAAGTCATGTGTAGTGATGATAATTAAACCCACGAGAGTGTTGAGGTCACCATGTGAGTGAGTAAGAGAGCCAAGGACAAGGCCTTGGGGTATACACACCATTAAGGGTATAAGATAGATAATGGTCCAGCAAAGGAAACTGAAAAGGAGTGGTCATCACATGGGGAGGTTCTAAGAGGACGTAGTGTCTGCAAAATGCCAGAATGAAGAGGGCGTCCAGAAAGAGGTGGTAGTCAAGAGTGTCAAATGTAGCAGAGAAGTCCAGAGGGGTGAATGATGAAGTCTGAAGCAAGATTTCAAGGGGTTGAGATGACAGTTAAAAAGGAAGCAGATGTAAGGAGTTAAGGGAGCCTTTTTCTAGGAATTTGACTGAGAAAAGGAGGAAAGAAAAAGGATGATAGCTTGAGGGCATGGTAGTGTTTAATATATATAGATATAGATAGATACATATAGACATTGCCTTGCATTAGCAAAGGTCCAACTGATATTAACATAAATTGTTAGGGAACTCAATCTCCAAGCTTTAGGATTTCCTTCAGCTCTGTTCAGGAGCATATGAGTAGGAAGGAAGGAAGTGGAAGGTGGGAATAATCCAGGGTTGGGTTTAGCAAGACTTAGGGGGTGACAGGGCCATAGGGCAAGGGATTCAAGAGTAGAGGACAATGTAGAGGTGAACTGGTTAATTATAAGGTTGAGATTAGGAAGAGAGGTAAGTGAAAGTCAGAACAGGATTGTTGGCTGGGAAAGTTCTGGGAGGTAAAAGCATTGTGGTCATAATGAGGTGAACTGGTTCAAGAAGAGTAAGGCAGAGGGAAAGAATGAATGGTAGGAGGTTATGACCAGATAAAGGAATTTTATAGCATCCTTAAGAAAGAATCTCATAGTAGGACCAGCAGGTCAAGTTTTACGATTTACTGGCCCCTTCTTAGCCTCACTTCTTCCTTTCCTCCTTCATTGTTCCCTCTGAGCATCTCTCTTTTCTTTTTTAGAACTGGCTGGACCCTTCCAAGGAAATCAAGAAACAGATACGTAGTGAGTAAAACAAAGACTAAATATTGTGGCGGGGCAGGTGGAGTGTTGTTGGTGATGATGATGATGATGATGATGATGATAATGATGATAAATGACAGTGATATGGCCATTCAAAATGTGCAGAGCTTTCTATATACTTTCTCTTTTGATTCTCACAGTCATCTTCTAAGATAGGTACAACAGGTATCAATATACCCATTTTATAGATAAGGAAAGTGAGGCTCAGAGAAGTTATAAGTGACTTGCTTATGGTCGCACAATTGGTAAATTTCCGATCTGAAACTTCAGGATCTGAACTCAGGTTTTCCTGACGCTCTATCCACCAAATCCCAGGGGTAGATGTATGGGGAGGCTCAAAGACAGGGTAGGGTTTAAACTTGGCCCCATGAGTAGATGAGTCATAGGCTCCTGGCTACTTCCAGCCAGATACCTAGGTATTGAAAGGAACTTCACACCTATTATCTCATTTGGTCATTGGACCATACCCCAAAGGCAAAAAGTCAGGTCCTAATTTGGGGACTGGAGATCTGAGAGGGAAAAGGACTTATTCAGTGTCACATAGCTCATTTAATGGCAGGGCTAGACCTTCAGTAGAAGTTGCAGAGAGATGGGATTAGGCTCAATGTAAAGAAAAACTTTGTGAAAATGAGAGGTGCCCAGAATAGAAATGTCATTTCAGGATATTCTTGAATTCAACAAACATGTATCAAGTGCCTATTTTGCACAAAGGATTGTCTTGAGTGCTGGGGATATAAAGGTACAAACACAATAGTCTCTATCCTAGAAAGGAGCCTACCTTCCATTTGAGGAATATGATATATACCCAGATAAGGAAGTGAAAGATAATTCTTGGTGAGGTGGAACGTGGGGGAGGGGGGAAGGGGCAAGGGCAAGAATTAACAACTGGAAGGGATCAGGGAAGCCTTTATAGAGAGATAGCACTGAAACTGAACTTTGAATGGTAATAACAATTTTGAAAGACAGAGATGAGGAGAGAGTGCATGCAGAATATCTTCTGCAAAGGCCCAGAGGTGGGATATGATAGAATGCTGGTAAGTCTGGGTCACAGCTAGTCATTCAGTTTGGCTGGAACCTAAGTGCCTGAAGGAGAGTAATGTGGAGTGGATTGGTGTTTGGAGCCATATTATAGAGAGCTTTAAAAACCAGGCTGAGCAGTTTGCATTTTATCCTAGAGGCCATAGGGAGCCACTGAAGAATTTTGAGCAGGGGAATGATATGGTCAGACGATGGCCTTTTGGCAGCTGTGTAGAGAGTGAATTACAAAGGAGAGCAACTGGAAACAGATGCTAATGAGCAAATCATTATAATATATTATATACTATAATAATAATATTTAACTTACACTGCATTCCATTGGACTGGAAGTACTTACCATATTTGACATAAATTTAACTTCAGATAATGTGTTCACCATTTGTACTAATGGTACTATAATACCAAGGAGAGGCAGTGAGGGCTTAAGAGAGTAGTAGTGTGAGTGGAAAGAAATGAATGGATATGAAGGTAGAATTAATAAGATTTGGTGATCAGTTGGATGTGAGTGGTAGGTTGGGTAAGGTTAGGAAGAGGGAAGTGTGAAGGGTGATTCCAAGGTTGTCCATTTATGTGATTAATAGAATTTTGGAGCCCTTCACAGAAATAGGAAAATTTGGGAGAGCAACAGGTTTTTGGAGGGAGGTTAGTGGGGGGAAATGAGGAGTTCTGTTTTGAACATGTTGAGCTTACGATGCCAACAGGGTATCTTGGAGGATCTGTCCAGAGAGTTGGTAGGGATGAATTTGTAGTTGAGAAGAGACACGAAGGCTAGATTTGTGACCTTTAAGAATCTATAGTTTTATGAAACAGATTTGGATGTCATCCGTGTAGAGCTGTTAGTTGAACATAGAGGAATGAATGAGATCACTAAGGGAAAGAGAGAAGGGAAGAGAGCTCAGGACTGAATCTTGGGAGAGCCAATGGTTAGAAGGTAAGAGTGGGAGATGGATGATGATCTAACAAGGAGAACAGAGGGCAACCAGATAGGTAGTTAGAGAACCAGAGAGGGTTGAGTTGTGGAATCCAAGGGAGCAGAGTATCCAGGAAGGAAGAGGTGATTACCAATGGTCCTCCTGCTGCTCAGATCCTTGGGATCAACAGGGCTGCTACAGGGGCCCAGACCAGTCAGTCTTTCTGGAACTAGAGAATCTAGCAGCACTTGGGGATCATTCTAAATGGGAATTCTCCTTGTCTGACCCTGTATAGAAGGGACTAATGTTGTCACAGCCTAGGACCCCTTCCCCTTCACTCATCTCCCCTCCCCCCCTACTCCCCTGGAAGTCCTGATAGAGGTATGACCCTGAAGCTAGGAGATGAATATTCAACTTCTGACTATCTTGCTGACCGCAAGACCCTAGGTAAGTCTTTTCTCTCTGCCTTAGCTTCCTCCTCTGTAAAAAAAAAAAAAAAAAAGCCTCTGAGTCTTTCTAGCTGGAAAGAGCACTGGTTTTGGAATCAGGACTTGGGTTCAAATTGTGGCTCTGCCACTTAGTGCCTGTGTCACCTTGGGTAGGTGACTTAACCTCCTTTGATCTCAGTTTCCTCAGCTGTAAAAGAGAGGGTTAAACTGGATGACATCTGAGGTCACTTCTACCTCTAGAACTCTGATCCTAGCTCTGATATTCTATGATTCTATGAATCCTAGTTTACTTCAAGGGTCACTCTTTTTTCTGGGCCCATTTGCTTGTCATCTCCCCCCAGTTTCACATAGAGGAATGCAGGGAAACATTCTTGGTTAATTGAAGGCACTTTTGACCTGGATTCTGGTTAGTCGAGCTTTGTATGTAACGCAGATTCAGAGGCTACATGCGAAACTAGTCTGGGAGCACTAGTCTGGGAGTCAGTCCTGAGTTCAAATCCTAGTTCCATCACTCCTACCAAATAAAAATGATCCTGGACAAATCAGTTCCCTTCTCTGAGACTCAGCTCCCTCATCTATAAAATTCAGATAACTATACTTGCTTCCTGCCTCACTGGATTATGGTGAGGAAAGTGCTTTGCAGATTTTAAAACTCTATAGAAGTGAGAGCTCTCGTTATTATCTTTATTATACATGGAGGCGGGAGAGACTCTGGTTCCACCAGGGAGAAATCAAAGTCATCCTTAAAGCACAGACTGCTAGAGGCTTAGACATCATCATCTAGCCTAGCTTCTTATTTTATAGATGAGGAAGGCCCAAAGATGGTAAGACATTTGCCTAAGGTCACATGGTAAGTGAGGGAAGTTTGGATTAAAACTCAGGTCTTCTTGTTCTCAATCTGCAGGGGTGGGGAACCTGCCACATGTGGCCTCGAGGTTGTAGATTCAGTCAAAGGGCCACACTTGAGGACCTAGAGGGCCACATGTGGCCCTGAGGCCTCAGGTTCCCCACCCCTGGCGAGGGCTATTCCACATAGCATAGGATAGAGGCTGGTAGTGAAAAGAGCCCTACATTTAGGGTCAGAAGATATGTATTTATTTTCCATCTCAGCTATTTATCTGTCTGACCCTGGACAAGTCATTTCCCCTCTCTGGGCCTCAGTTTCTCTATAATTATTGGACTAGATGATCTCTAAGGGCCCTTCTGACCTGAATATTCTATGAATCTGTAGCCTTGGAAAGAACTGGGAGCCAGAACCCCCTTATCCCAGAGGGAGTTGCCATGTTGTGGGGGCTAGGCCAGGCTGTCTTTGGACAGATGGGGTGAGGGAGGCCCTTCTGGGTGAGAGGGGTTGGGTGGGCTTGGTGGCAAAATGCCTGTGCCCTCTGTTCTCCCCACCTCTAGCTTCTTAGTCTCTGGAGAGATAACCCCAGCTCCCCAGGCGTTTGGCTGGGAAGCTGTAGGTGAGCCTGTTTCCATGACAACTAGGAGACAGGCAGGAGATATTAGCTATCACTCATGCATGGGGGTTGGGGAAGTTGGGAAGGATTGTTCTTTTTGGTTCCTATGGTCCAAAGAGATTTATTAGGGCCTGTGTGTAGGCCCCACCTGGGGCTCCTAGCTACTCTAGAGACATTCCCATCCTATCTAAGAAAACACAACAGTTCCAAAATGCCTGGGCTGGAGTACAAGACACAACAGCGGAGAATCAGTTTCTAAACCTGAGCTGTAAGAGGGAGTCACTGAAAGGAGATGTAGCACTCAGACGGGGTTTCTTGGAGGAGGCAGGATTCATAGAGTCTTAGAATTGGAAGGTGCCTTAAACGTTATCTGCTCTACCCTCAAGCATTCTTTCTACAATGTTTCTAGCAATAATAATCCTTCACATTTCTAGAGCACTTTAAGGTTTACAAAGCATTTTCACCACAAATAACCCAGTGAAGTATATAATACAAGTGGTATTTTTACAGGTGAGGAAAACTGAGGCTCAGGAGGGGAACTGATTTGGCCAATGTCATATAGCAAGTATATCAAAGCCAGGATTCAAATCCAGATTCCTAACTCCAAGTCTAGGACTGTTTCTATGACACTATACCGTATTAACAGGCATGGATCGCACATGCCTAGTGATGTGAAACTCACTACTCCCTGAAGCAGTCTGTTTCGTCAATGGACTGCTCTGATCATTAGATGATCTTCCTTATATTGGACTGAAATATGCCACCATGTACCTTCCTCACACTGCTCTCAGGGGCCACATATGTCCCTTCCCTATGACAGCTTATCATATGCTGTCAGACAGCAGTTCCATCTCACTTAAGGCTTCTCTTTTCCAGAAAGGAACATCCTTGGTTTCTTCAGCTGGTCCCCCTTCAGCTTGATTTTGAGTCCTCTCCCCACCCTGGCCTCCCTTCTCTTGATACACTCCAGCTCATCCCTGTGTGATGTTGAACAAATACCTCTTGGTCTCAGTTCTCACATCTGTAAAATGGGAATAACAAAGTCCTGCCCTGTCTTCCTAATTGGCTTGTTGTGACATGATATATGTGAGGGCACACTGAAACATTAAAAGCAGGTGTCACACATGAGGTGACATAAGTGTGACTGAGCCATCCACAGTGATGGGGACATTTCTGATCCCTGCTTGTCTCCTCCTCCCTGCAGGTGGCCCCTGGAATTTTGCCTTTACAGTCAAATTCTATCCTCCGGATCCAGCCCAGCTCACAGAAGACATCACAAGGTGAGAGGCAAGTGGTCTTTCTTGGGTAGTCCCAGGGACAACTGGCTGTGAGCAGACCTTTGTTTAAATACATGTGCCCATAGCCCGGAAGGTGGGTAGATGTGAGAGGGGGTGTATGTGGCCCAGTGATCTTCTGACTATGAGAGAAAGTGTGTGTGTGTGTGTGTGTGTGTTTTCACATAGGGAGCAATGTGGATGTAACAGTTTGTGGAGGTAGAAGTACTCGGAGGAAAGTGACTGTCCAGATGAGAGCAAGGCGGGCAGAGGGCAGACTGTTTATGTGTATGTGTGTGTGGGGGTGCTCATCACAGGGCAATTCACAGTCTTAGAATGTCAGAGCTAGAAAGGACCTTAGAGAACATCTGCTTTAATCACCTGATTTTATGGGGGAGGTAACATAGCAACCAGGGAGAGGAAGGGAGTTGTTCAAGGTCACACAACTAGTAGGTATCCAAGTCAGGACTCAAACCCAGTTCTTGCAACAACGAGCTTGATGCTAACATATGTCTTTAGATAACAGCTCATATACCTTGGCAGGAGATGGGGAGGAGAGTAGGGGCAGAAGGACATCAGGGGAATTAGAGTAAGAAGATTCCTGGGGAATAAATCATCTGGCCACAGCCTTATCCGCTCCTTGATCATACGAGGCCTCAATTTCCCCATTTGTGAGACTTGTACTGAATTATCTCTAAGGTACCATACCAACTCCAACTCCTATGATCTCCAAACCTATAACCAGACTTGCCTAAGCTTGTCCTCAGCCCCTTCTGACTTCGGGGAGCCATGTGGACCCATAGGATCATCCATTTAGAACTGGAAGGGACCTTAGTAGTCCTTGAGTCCAAACCCTCCTCACAGATAAGGAAACTAAGACTCTGGCTAAATGATTTGTCCAGAGTCACACAGCTAAGTGTCTGACCCTGAACTTTAGGCTTCAGAGATACAGATCCAGCCTCTAGTACTCAACCAATGTTCTAATCGTGCTGATGGCTATTCCACAGGTTCATTTACTTTTTAAAATTTTATTTATTTATTTTTTGGTGAGGCAGTTGGGGTTAAGTGACTTGCCCAGAGTCACCTAGCTAGTGAGTGTTATGTGTCTGAGGCCGGATTTGAACTCAGGTCCTCCTGACTCCAGGGTCCATGCTCTATCCACTGCACCACCTAGTACCCCCCAGGTTCATTTACTGATCCTATAACAGGTTCAGTAGACTATGGCAGTGAGATGTTGGCTATGAGTCATTTTGAGCAGGAGGCTACGTTGAGCCATCCGCATTCCTGTCTAGGTCCTTGGCACCTACAAGGCCTCCTGTTGGCAAGATGGCATCACAAATGAGATTGAAGTCATTCTGTGTCAGCTCATTATCCCCTATGAAGGTAGCCACCATAGCCCAGATCTCAATCATACCACCTTCATACCAGCTTGCCCCAAGTTGAGGATATCAGCAGTGGAGTTTGGGCCCTGGGCCCCCAGAGACTGTGGAGCCTGTATCTTTGGGGCAGTCAGGTGACGTAGTGGATGAAATACTAGATTCGGAATCAGGAAGACCTGAGTTTTGAATACTGCCTCAGATACTTGCTAGCTGAGTGATTCTGGGTGAGTCATTTAAGCCTTCTCAGCCTCAGTTTCTTCATCTGTAAAATGGGGATAATAATAGCACCTACTTCCCAGGGTTGTTGTGATGCTCAAGTGAAGTAAAATGTGGAAAGCACTTTGCAAATCTTAAAGCACTATGTAAATGCTAGCTATTTTTACTATTATTAGCACCTCACATAGAGAGCTTAGGTAGATGACATTGATACAGCACTCTAAGTTTTGCCAAGCAATTTAGATACATTATCTCATTTGATCCTCAAAACAACTCTGAGGTAGGTGCTGTTATCCTCAATTTGCAGATGAAAAAATTGAGGTTAAGTAATTTGCTCAGATACAAAGCTAGTAAGAGTCTGGGGCAGAATTTGAATCCAGACCATCCCAACTCCAAGTCCAGTGCTCTAGCCACTGTCATGTTGACATCAATATAGTACTTGAAGATTTGTAAATCACTTGATGTCCATTTTCCCATTTAATCCACTCAAGAATTTTGATTGATTGCCAGCTTCCAGGAACTAAGCCCTTCTGGGTTGGGAACCGTCAGGGACCAGAGGGCCAGAGGAAAACAGTAAGGCAGGGGAAGTCCTGGCACAAACTGAGCTAATGTGAAGAATAGGAGATAGACTGGTTGGAGGTGATTGAGAGACACTAGAAATGGGGTGTGGTGGTAGAAAGTGTCCTGAGGGGCAGCTAGGTGGTACAGTGGATAGAGCACTGACCCTGAAGTCAGGAAGACCTGAGTTCAAATCCCATCTCAGACCAAACACTTGACACTTACTAGCTGTGTGACCCTGGGCAAGTCACTTAACCCCAATTGCCTTAAAAAAAAGTGTCCTAAACATGGCACACATGGCATCAGGAGAATAGCATTCTAGTATCAGTTCTGCCACTAATTTATTATCAGATCCTAAGTAAATCTCTTTCCCTCTCTGGGTCTCACCTGGAGATGAAAGGTTCAGAGAAGATACTGTCTCTTATCTCTTCCAGCTATAACGTTCTGTGTGCCTGAGGTAGTTAGGCCCTGGATAGTGAGCGAAGACATAGCCTTCTGGCTGGACTTAAATGGACTTGACCTTCCTTGACCCTCATAGTCCATCTAGCTTTGTCCAGGATTATCCTGGGAGACTCCCAGAAGGTTGCCTTCACCCTAGAATACCCCATGCCATGGGCTTGTTACTTAGAGCTCCCCATTCTGAATCTCTGTGCAAGGATGCTGCACCTGCATAGCACACTCTTTCTGCTGCCCCCAGATACTACCTGTGCCTGCAGCTGAGGGCAGACATCATCACCGGCCGTCTGCCCTGCTCCTTCGTCACACATGCATTGCTGGGCTCCTACGCCGTTCAGGCTGAGCTGGGAGACTTTGATGCCGAGGAACATGTGGGCAACTATGTCAGCGAGCTCCGCTTTGCCCCCAACCAGACCAAAGAGCTGGAGGAGAGAATCATGGAACTGCATAAGACTTACAGGTAAGCTTGCCATACCCCCTCCCACCTTGGAGCCCAGGGAGCCACGCTCTCTGCTTTTGCCCCGTCACTTACCTGCTCTGTGACCTTTTGGGGAAGCTTGTGGATTAGTAAAACATCTGAGTTACAAGTGACCTCAGCGACAAGGCCTGAAGAGAGCAAGGGACAGTAAGCAGTAAACGGTAGAGTTGGTGTTCAAACCCAGGCCCTCTGACTCCCAAGTTCAATGCTCTGTGCACTAATTATGCTGCTAATTACTTACCTCTCTTACCTCCTTTGTCTCCTTTACTGCCTTTCCCATTTCTTCTCCTTTCTCCTAGGACTAGGAAGATTTTGACATCATGGTCTGAGTCTATGCCAATCTAATTCCTCACCTTATGCTTGAATTCCCTCTAGATCATGAGTTCTGACCCTTTTTTTGGTGCTGTAGACCCCTTTGGCAGTGTGGTGAAGAGTGGAGGAATCCTTGATTATTTAATATAAAAAAAAATCACAGACTCT